CGTCATGAGAGATGAAAATAATAATAATAATAATCAAATCGTCTCCACTCCTGATCATTCTACTAATGTTAATAAAAATAAAAATATTGTCACCACTAATGAAGAAAATGACGGTGATGAGAAAGAATCATACTTTCTTTTAAGAGTACGCTCACCGCCAAACATTGGCCACCAGCCATGTTTATTAACAATGTATCTGTTTGAATTTAAAACATCTTCTACTGATTCTGGCAACGTCAATTTATTAACTGAATATGTGCAAGTCCAGTTTATCCAAATTTTAATAAAATAATCATTATTAGTATTATTGGTGGCAATATTAGTAGTTGTTGTGGTGGAAGTGGTAGCAGGATCATTTGAAATGATACCAGAATCAGCGGAAGTAGTAGTAGCATCGGTCGAACCATTTGAAGTGATAACAGGATCAGTTGAAGTGATAACAGGATCAGTGGAAGTGATAGAGGTAGTTTGTTGGTCGTCAATAATGTTGTCTTTGTTGTTACGATCACAACCATCAGTATTATTGTTTTTATTATTATTAGAATCTATGGTGGTGGACTGATTATCATCATGGTTTTCTTCATTGTTGGTCGTAATAATATTACTCATATTTTTATTATAATTAATATTATTATTGCTATTATTTTTGAAATTGGTGGCAGTAATAGTCTGACTGTAATCGTCATTTTCTTCATTAGTGGTGACAATATTTTTATTTTTATTAACATTAGTAGAATGATCAGGAGTGGAGACGATTTGATTATTATTATTATTATTTTCATCTCTCATGACGATGATATTAAGCTTATTGTTGTTATCATTATCAGCATAACTAGTAGAATTATTAGATTTCAAGAGATCTTTTCCGGTTTCGAAACCTTTTGTCAAGGCTTTGATGTTGGTCATTGCGATTGGATTTGGTGCCATTTGTTGCAAAAAACAAAATAATAATAATAATTACCTTTTTTTTATGGTAGCTTTATATTCAATTAATTTTTTGTAAGTTATTATTTAATTCTCAAAGTAATTCCTCTTTTTTCAAATATTTATATGGGAGATAGATAGTTGAGTTTGTTTGTTATGAAAATTTATATTATTTTTTTTTTATAAAGCTGTAACACACAAAAAAATTTAGTTGGTTCAAAATTAAGTTGCCAAAATGTCATTGTTACGCATCATTTGATAATTTAGTATTAGCATTATCGTCTAACGTCACGTTTAGACGCGAATACTGCCTTAAATAGTAAATAAACCCAATGGACCCTGAATACGTCACACTAATCATGTAAATCTTTCTAAATATGTAACAAACGTAAAAGCTCGTGCTTTTATTGAATATAAAAACATTATACAAAAAACGCATGGCTTTTATAATTTTTGTAATTTGAAAACATCTACTATTGGCAATATGAGATCGTAAATGGACCAACTGGGTCCCCTTGTTACTGTAGATCAATTTTAGGCTTATGTAACCTCGTGTAACATTTAGTGTAACACCAACATTCAGGATGATCCATATACACTTCCTGGTCATAAATATAAGGACACTTGCAGATCATCGGAAATAATTGAATAAAGAAACATGAAAAAAAATAAAAATTTTATTAACCTAACCGCATTTGCTTATTAAGTAAAAAT